TCTGGTGTGCGTCTCGTTTTTTGCTGTGCCGATCTTAATTCCCAAGTCTGCCATTCTGGCGAGTGATGTGGATTCACTGCCACCAAAGTCATCTATCCTTCCCATTTCTCTGAGGGCATTGATAATATCAGCATGATCCATAGGCTGACCGTCGGTAGTGATAGCGGATCCAGGCAACCTGTCAGCTCTTTCATTTCCATCGACGCCTGCGTGTCCCGGAACAAAAATAAAGGTCCCCCACCCTTCCCATTTCTCAGAGGACATTAATATCAGCATGATCCATAGGGTGTCTGTCAGGTAGTGATAGCGGATCCAGCCAGCCTATCAGCTCTTTTATTTTCTTCAATACTCCAAGAACAAAAATAAAGATGACCGCACAGTGGACTTCTGTAATGATTCAAGCCATTGTCTTCGCACTGATCCTGCCTGAACCCTCCGGATCATACTCATTGAATCACTGAGTATACATACGCGGGTGTATTTTTGTGTTTCACGCCAGGCAAACGCTTGCGTCACTGCCATCACCTCCGTCGTCATGCTGCTGGTTGTCATGGAGAAGGCGCCGTTGGCTTCTTTGACTGTTTTGCCCGCTGAGCGTGCTGTAAATGCCCATGCGCTTCTTCTTTGGCGTAAAACGGATCCGTCTGTATAGATAAGTGCATCTGCTTCGTCTGAATTTTCACCGATGAGAGCGTTTACCTCTGCATTAACAGCAACAGGATGAGAAAATCTTGTGTTTTCCTATCAATCCACGAGTGGATTCCGAATCCCATAACGAATTTCTGACCCAGGACTGTCAAGAGATTTAAATTATATGCGGCACATTTCTTACTGTGCACCGCACATTTCAAACACCTTGACCAACATCTCCTACAATAAGTAACACAATAACCTATATATTCTAATTATACTAAATTTATGTAAAAAAAAAATTAAAAAACACACAGTAATCATGTCATAAGAAGTAGGGAGAATAATTGATTGTTTAAAATTAAGAGTATTATATTATGATATTTGGTTAAGTTTGTTTTAGGTGTAAGCGATAAGGCATTGTGTGCGAGCATTGTGAGTTTCCGGTTCCGGCAGACGAGAGCGGAGCGGAGATACGGGGAGAGTTAAGTAAGAATCGAAGTTAGCCTTTGTTTTCATTGCGTGCGTGAACCTCGAGGACATGCGATGAGTAAGTCGTAAAGACGTATATCTTTGTTTTGATGTTCTCTTACTGTCAGACCTCACGGGTATAGGTTGGCAATTACTGTCGCGCTTATAGACTAGACTATCTAAACTTTGACGAGCACACTCGTTGCGGTTTCGTTCGTAGCAAGTTATTTTTTTTTAGTTAGCAGAATGTTTAATAATGAGAATGAAAATAAAATTATATTATATATTATAATAATAATAAAAGCGCCAGATTAATTTTTAAAGTTATCTTACAACTGACTCCAATGTGTTTTTAATTATAAGTATGAACTTGCAAGCAGTTATCACACTTGACTTAATCACTAACTAAAAACTTCTCTGGAATTTTTGTCCTTACGTATTGATGTCGGCAGACAGTACTGTCTGTTAAAAAACTAAACACGGAAAAGGTCATTGCTGAGTATTATTTTGCGTAATCCAGTGCAAAAGATTTAAAATCATTGAGTCTGTTCTATCGAAACAGCACGAATCTTCTTCGATCCTTCTGTCACAGAAAACGTATATTATTAGGAGGCGGTAACGGTAACTAACCTTTATGAAAGCTATCGTGCACTCCATATCTTCTCGTGCATCATACAGTTTTGGGCACTCTTCCGAATACCAGTCCCAAATTTTTCAATGCGAAAAATATCCCTTTGAGAGCCTAAAGAAGTTATGTAGTAAAACATGTAAGCCATCAACATCAGTTTCCACTTCTGCCATTCCATTATTGCTCGAGATGGATAGCAATGTTTGGATGTAAAGCTAAGAGCTGTGGGGAGGAATAGTTTTGGAGCCATTGAAGCTCCATGGGGCAAAATAGTTTTTGATTTGATCCATTGTTCGCATTACCCGTGACTTGCCTTGTGGGTTCCAGGGCCACATGTTTAAAAAAAAAATAGCTACACTGTTACATTAATGGATGTTGTAAAACGCAAATAATTAGGACGTTGTTGAATTAAGATGTATTGGGGCATAAGGTGCAGATATCGCAACCTAGCTGTAAACCATACATGTCAACCACCCTTAAGGGTGAGCGAAAAGACAGAAGATTGCCTACCCGTGACACGACCATTGAACATCTCACTGCTGCTATAGCAGACTAGCTGTAAACCACAATACAGAGCGAGAGGTGAAGATATCGCAGCCTAGCTGTAAACCACAACACAACATCCCAGCTCCTTTTTACTTTTAAGGGCTAAAAATAAGTTATTACCTGTTGGGGATTCGAACACCGGTCACCCGCGTGATAGGCGAAATGCATACAACTACACTACCCAAGAGTCTAAATCGGTTCATATTATTTTTAACTATATGACCTTTTGAGGCCCTAAATGGGATTTTTTGAACATTGATTCGGTATCCGGAAGAGTGCCCAGTTTGGTCTTTATTGAGGTTAGAACAGGCCAGATTGCGTCTCTTTTGTCAGCACCAACTCAGTTGACAGTGTTGGAGCATATGCTCAGCGTTTTCGGGTGCCAAGTTGCAGTGGCACATCGCCGTGTCTCCTACCTACGCAGAAAAGTACATGAACAGCGTGAATGATAACAATTTCATTTGCCCTCAATACTTTTACTTACTTTTACAATATTAAAAATACAACTAGTAAGTAAAAGTACAATTTTATGAAGTGTCCTGCACAGGTCACTGATAAAAGCTAGTGACAGAGTCACATTTTAATGGCTGTGTTATGATTTTGTTTTCAAAATTAATGCGAACAGAACAGGAGCATGTTTAGGAGTCCAGTTGTGTAATAGCAAAGATGTAGCAGCGAGCACAGTTTCATTAACCAAGGGAGTTTCTCATTATTAGATAATTAGAATTCTTCTTTTATGTTATGCATGCTCTAATTATTCTTCACATGCTCTAATTTTTCCTCTTCATGTTCACTGGCTGTAAACTCCTGCAAAAAGTTGTGGTTGTTATCCACCCCTGGATTTTGGTCTTAATTCAGAACTTAAATGTTGCCTGCACATCTGTTTTACAGATCTGGTTTATTTGTATGCAGACTGTTGTTCGGTTGTTGCCTTTCAGACAGACGCACTTCGACTTTAAAGGAAACACACTGAATTAGTCGGCTCCTATGACATGCTTGTTATTGGCAATGGGTCGGTTCTTTGTTCTTCAAAATAGCGCCTGGGACCAACATGAGGAAAATGCACTAATAAGGAATCGACCACTTGCCGGTAGCATCACACAAATCGTGGACTTAACTCCAGGAATGAACCTCATTCATAGTTATCTCAGAAAAAAAAAAGTTTTGCAAGGACTTCTTTTTGTTTGTCCTACTGCTTATGCCATAAAAGGTTTGCAGAGTGGAGTTAGATGTAGTTTCCTTCTTTTTGTTTGTCCTACTGCTTATGCCATAAAGGGTTTGCAGAGTGGAGTTAGATGTAGTTTCCTTCTTTTTGTTTGTCCTACTGCTTATGCCATAAAGGGTTTGCAGAGTGGAGTTAGATGTAGTTTCCTTCTTTTTGTTTGTCCTACTGCTTATGCCATAAAAGGTTTGCAGAGTGGAGTTAGATGTAGTTTCCTTCTTTTTGTTTGTCCTACTGCTTATGCCATAAAGGGTTTGCAGAGTGGAGTTAGATGTAGTTTCCTTCTTTTTGTTTGTCCTACTGCTTATGCCATAAAGGTTTGCAGAGTGGAGTTAGATGTAGTTTCCTTCTTTTTGTTTGTCCTACTGCTTATGCCATAAAGGGTTTGCAGAGTGGAGTTAGATGTAGTTTCCTTCTTTTTGTTTGTCCTACTGCTTATGCCATAAAGGTTTGCAGAGTGGAGTTAGATGTAGTTTCCTTCTTTTTGTTTGTCCTACTGCTTATGCCATAAAAGTTTGTAGAGTGGAGTTAGATGTAGTTTCCTTCTTTTGCTAGTTGCTGCGCAGCTTGCGTTAGTGTCATATTACATTACCATAGTGTCACTTACTCCCTTAACCAAACCCTTTCTTGGTCGGCTCCTTGCTTTGTAGCCTGCTGTTCTTATGTAGTACCCTCTAGCTGCTGCTGGCTGATTTTGTTGCATTGTGACCACATGGCCAAACTGTTTCATTCTTTGATGTTCTGTGAAATCATTTACTGGTACTGTTCCTACCATAATTCTTTGTTCATTGTTGACTGTGCCTCTTCTTGTTTTTCCTGCCTCATTTCTTATCAAGAACTGGTAAACAGTTTGAAAAATAATCATCAATCGATATCAAGGTAAAAGGCTTGATTTATTTTCTACCTTCCGCGATGCATCTGATATTTATTATTGCTATATAAAGTTAAGGATCCTTTTTATGCCAGCGACATATTGGGAGAAGCGGCTGGCAGTTAGAATGACGGGCTTTTGAGTTAAACACACGTTGAGATTTTTGGTAAGGTTGGCAGTTCCATCTGTCAGGGCAAAATTGAAATCCTAACCTGCACAGACGGCGGCTCAAACCTCTCCCTGCCTACACAGCAAAAGGGGTCAATACAGGCAGTTGTGGGCACATGAAGCTAGACCCATGGCGTATAGACCAGTCAGCACTTGATGGTTGTCAACATCACACCAGCCACCTTTACTTCCCAACTCATTACCTGGGACCTATTTGAGACTTGGTCTACCTGGGAGCCAATGTTAATTTTGAAGAAAAAAACACAGAATCGATGCAGATTTAAACCCTGATTAACATATTATTAGTATTTTAACATTAATGACCAATATGTGTGTGTTGCTTTCAGCGTTACGATTACAATAACAACTTTGAGGAATATGAACTTGAATGACCTGTATGCCTGCCCAGGACAAACATAAAGACCTATCAACGTTAGACTTGTGGTTCAGCTGAATTTTTCAAAATGGATAACCAGTTTTCTTCCTTTGGGAGTGCTCTAACTCCTCAGCCACAGTTGCAGGTTAGTTAGAATTTGTTTGCTGTTGGAATTCACGTGGCTTTATTTCATTTTAGTATGTGTTGTTATCATTATCCTTATGCTGTGGCCTCAAAAAGGTAAAAACTGTGGCGATGAATTAGCACAACAGGAAGTCTTAGATCAATGGGTTTTTAACTGTTCCGTTTCACAGGGGGTCGCCTAAGACACGAGGAACTGTATTAAAGGGTTGCGGCAATAGGAAGGTTGAGAACCTCAGTCTTAGATTATTAGATGATACCCCATTCCCGTGAATGTTTTCCCTTGTTAACTTAACACAGAGGGCAGGCCAACCTGAGCTGTTATTCTTTAGCTGAAGTTTAGTCGTATTGTTTGTTACTTTTTTTTCTTTTTCAGTTGGGGTTAAGCCAGCTGTTTAAAATTTTTGAGTCGAACGGCCCTTTCACATGGGTCGGCAAAGACCATTGCAAAACAATAATGGTTTTGTTTTGTTTCGCAAAACAATAGAGTATAATAAAAATAATTGTATACAATAAAAATAATTGTATCTTTGGAGGTCGCCACAACACGAGAACTTATTAAAGGGTCACCACAACACGAGAACTGTATTAAAGGGTCACCACAACATGAAAACTGTATTAAAGGGTCGCCACAACAAAAGGAACTATTAAAGGGTCGCCACAACACGAGAACTGTATTAAAGGGTCGCCACATTAGGAAGGCTGAGAACCACTGGGTTAAGTGCCCCATTACAGGGCGAGTGTGACTAGAAGTAAATCCATATTTTTAAATTGATAAAGGATACAGACTCACAAAATCTTTCTATGTCCTCTTCATGTCACTGTTGACACATAAGGCATTCACAAGTGATCTTCATTGCTGCCTGTCTGTTGTTTTTCTGCCCATGGTATCCCATGTCAGTTTACATTCTTTCATTTCTCGTTCTATTGTCTTTCTCCGGGTTACCTTAGGCCATCCACGTCTTCTTTTCCCATCTGCTGTCCACTGGAGAGCTGTTTTTACCAGTGTCACACGGCATTCTGCAAACATGTCGAAGCCATCTCCATTGTCTTACTTTGATAACATTTGCCAGTGATGCACATTCCGTTTTCCTCCTCAGTTCTTCATTTGTGATCTTGTTTGCCAAAATACTTGTAGAATTCTCCTTAAACATTTTTTTTTTTGAAAAGTCTCAAGTTTATGTGTAATTCCCACTGACAACTCACAAGAGAAAAAAAAAATATAAGGTGGGCCAGTTGCCAGAGTGTTAGGAAAGAAAAGATTTTGAAAAATATGTCAGGTGATGTTTCTCTGTCAGGGGCAAAATTTAACATCCTAACCTGTGTAGTCAGTGGTGACATCTATAGCCGTGTGGTCCTAAATTTTCAGGCTCACGATCTACCATTGTCTACACTCGAAAGTAGTAAGTACAAAGAAGAGGGACAGAAAAAAAAAAGCTGAATTGTGATCTCTCCCTAAAAAAACGTGTTGACATTCAATGCATGAATCATAATTTCTAAGTTATATCTTTTATTCATATGTCCGCAGACCCCGCTTCTGTCTCCTGCCATGGCTTTTAACCCAGTGCTTCCTCCATCTGCTGCAAGCTTGTACCCTGCGACCCCAAACCCTGGGGGTCCAATGACTCCATACTCACCAGCTACCCCTGCATCAGAAGGCTCTGGAATTAGACCGCAGTTACAGTAGGTCTTGTCACTTAGTTTAGTGTCATTTATTTTATCTTTGTCACCCTGTTTTATCCTAATTTTTGTAACAGGACTGAATCATTGTGTGGATTTAGGGCCCCATTTTACGGAAAAAACGAGTGGATCCATTGCCTCTCCCAACAAGAATTGACCCATTGCCTCCCCCAACAAGAATTGACCCATTGCCTCCCCCAACAAGAATTGACCCATTGCCTCCCCCCAACAAGAATTGACCCATTGCCTCCCCCAACAAGAATTGACTAGTTAGGGATATTTCTCCCCGTGTGGGTTGCCGGGCCCTATTGTAGTTGAAACAAGAATTGACCCACTGCCTTCCCCAACAAGAATTGACCCACTGCCTCCCCCAACAAGAATTGACCCACTGCCTCCCCAACCATCATGTTGTAACAGCAGACTAATTGGGGACTTCTTCGAAATCGGAGTACATCTGCCCGAGCGGCAAGGAACAGTTAGCTGCAGACAAATAAGCTAGTAAAACAGATGGACAAACAACCAGGGCTTTCTGTCGGAGCTAACAGCTGTTGAACAAAGCAAATCGGAGTACATTTGCCTGAGGAGAGAATAAAATCTGCATATAAATAAGCCAGATCTGTAAAACAGATGAGGGTGCAAAACTCATGTTCTAAAACAAGACTTAAGTTTGTCGGTGGGCGAAGTTTACAGTTGGTGAACACAAGGAAAAAGAAGTACATTGTTGCAGGTGAAAAGTTTTTACACCTCAACCAAGCATTCCCCGAACAACCTCTTGCACCGAATTATTTGAGAAACAGAAGGCACACATTATTCCCAAGCATTGCCAGCGTAGTGTCGGGCTGTATCTACATTGTTTTGATTTTTATCTTCCCCCAGGAATATTGTGTGTACAGTGAATCTCAGTTGTAAGCTGGATCTGAAGACAATAGCTCTACGGGCAAGAAATGCTGAATACAACCCCAAACGTTTTGCTGCGGTTATTATGAGGATCAGAGATCCGCGCACCACCGCGCTGATATTTAGCTCCGGGAAGATGGTGTGCACTGGTGCTAAAAGGTTGGTTGGTTGGTTGTGACTTTAAAATGTATTGATTTGTCCATGCAAAATGGAATAGATGGTACGCTGCAGTCCTTAGCAATGAACAAATGTAGAGACAGGAAGATAGTAATAAAGCTACTGCAGCATTTGCACAGGCTGCCTCTGAGTAAGTAGTTCACCATTGTGTTCATGTAGGTTGTCTGTGCAAACTGCAGAACATGTCCTGCAAGAATGTTTCTTGTACAGCCCATTCAGAAGGGAATACTGGCCCAGTGAGTCAACACTATACTGAAAGTTGCATGGGACTAAAAGGGAACTCCTAAAAGCAGTCACTTTTATCACAAGAACTTGTGTGTCTGTGTAAACCAGACTTGATTACAGAAAGAAGAAAAATAACTACTGTATTAAAAAAAATGTACTACGGGTCAATTCCTTTTAAAAAAAAGTGTTCCTTTTATTCCATACAGGAGCAAAGACTCAACCAACTCATGCTGAACAACAGTCCTCCTATCTTGATATTTCTAGCAGCTTCCTTCATAAGCTCGTGCACATTAAGCCCCTGACCACCCCCTCCCCCCCCCTCTCTCTCTCCAATTTTGTTGTTGTTGCGGGGGAGGCCTTATTTCCTTGAAAAATTTGCTAGCCACCATAACCAACTATGTATAAACATTCTGTTTTTAAGTACTTGATTATACAATCCATATTATTTAAGAAATCTTATATTTCTCATTCACACTAAAAAATTGTTATTTATTTGTTATCATTATGCTGTTAGCAAGGCCCCATGCCCTTCAGAAAATTACGGCGTGGCTTCTTTTTTTTTTCTTTCTTAGTGCACACTGGTTGTAATCTCCAGCAGAAAGTATTGGTTATTGGTTATATTCTTGACTTTGATTTTGATCCAGAACTTGACACTTATGTGCACATCAGTTTTACAGATCTGCCTTATTTGTATGCACACTGTTCGTTCCTGGCCTCTTGGGCAGATGTACTGATTAGTCGCCTCCTAAGTCATGCTTGTTGGGATGTTCCTTTATTTGTTATTCAGGATGTTGTCCCACCTCGTGCACTATCCTAACCACAGTGTCACTTACATCCTGTGCCCATCTTATTGCTGGTCAGTCCCTCTTTCCTGGTACCTTGCCCTCTGCTGTCATTTTCCCCTTAGTCTGCTGTTGTACTTGATATAGCTGAAATATTTCAGTATCCGAGACAGGATGCTGTTGACCAGCCAACATTCTTTTATGGTCAATCTTTTAGGATATCAGTGTTTTTTCTTCTTCTTTGCCCATGTTATTATGGGAATCTCTTTAGCATATAGGCTCAGATACTTTTTTGGGGTTCAAAATCGGAACTGTTTGGGTCATATTAAACGTCAGCATGGTTTGGAGGGTGTGGTTCCTAGAAGAAGAGGAGGTAGGGGGTCAGCCATCTTGAGGATGGACTTAGGGTATTAGATACCCACTGGGCAGAACATTTTTCAAGGCAGTGAAGGTGGCAGGAGACCTCTGAGGACGATTTGGCAGCTAAAAGCTTTCTATATATAACTGGTGTCTTTGCGGGTGCATTGCTGGCTTTTGTTACTGACCATTTGGCTGATGTGGGATCAATATTGTTGGCAAAATTTAAAGCAGCTTTTTTGCAGTGCAAGCTTCAAGATTTTCCTGGGAGAAACAAGTTTTTCCACTGATTTTCAGATAGGACAGTGAAGGATGCCCATCTGTAGTGATGTTAGAACCCCGGCTTATGGGGGGGGGGGGGGTCCATTACTTACTAGATAGCTTTGGCTGTCAATATTTGTTTTTGCCTCATGAGTAGATTTTATGCTATCTAATTCATAAAGAGATGTATGTTCTGTTTTTTTTGGGTTTGCTTAACAGTGAGGACCTTGCTAAGCTTGCTGCCAGAAAATATGCCAGAATTGTACAAAAGCTGGGGTTTCCTGTAAGTACGACAATGTATGTTTTCTTCAGCTCTTTGTCTGCTAATGCAGCTCATTCCTCCAACCAACTCGTGCCAGTTCGTCCTATCCTTTGCTGTTGCATGCAGCTGATCCCATGTTCTCTCTCCATCTTTTTAACTTTATTCTCTAGTTTCCTTCTTCATGTATTTTTTTGGGCCTGCTTTTATAATACATCTCTGTGGCTCCAGTGAAATGGCATTCTAGTTGTATTGTTTTCAGGTTATATTTATCACTTGTCTCCAAAATTGATGAAACTAAAAAGCTATTAAGTGATTAGTGTTATCAGTATCTCTATCTTTTCTCCCTGCCTTTGATAGTAAGTAAAGATCCCTTTTTACGCATCGGGTATATGGAAAGAGGACCCATATTTTTACAGACTAACTGGCACTAGGTGGGTAATGTGGTCAGCATTACGCCAGCCCCGTCTTTGATAGTGGTAACAAATTAGATGCCTGATCCCGTAGAAAAGTTACACAGAGGGTGATTATGTACGTTTGTTTCATTTTCATGATGTTTGCATTCACATTGGCGTTCTAATAAATTTCTTTTCCATCTTCTGGATTTGCACTTAAGAAGAAGAATGACATGTTATGTCATAGTTTACAGCTAATCTACAATATCTACATATTTCAACCCATGGCATCTTATTTAAACAAACCTCTCAGAAATCGCTTTTTACATCATGTAGGCGAGGGGCTGTGGATCTCTCCCCCCCCCCCCCCCTTCCCAAATAGGGTCCCATTCTAGGACATGGATAAATAAACGATTGTTTTTTCAGTTTAAAGTGCCAGTGTTAAGACTAGTGCTAAGTATATACATATTTGGCAGGAGTGGATACCAAGCATCAGCACGTCATCATTACATGGACTAACGTGGATATAGTTTGTAGGATATGCAGGAGTGTGAGAGAATGAAAGAGCAGATTCTTTGGCTACAGGAACACTCACACTGGACAGAGGAGACAAATAGAAGACACGAGGTTAAATAAAATAACATGTGTAGGCGGGTGTAAATCTGCCACGGATGGGGTGTTTGAAGGGAAGAGAAGAACTTGTGTATAATCAGTGTGCTACGGGAACGGTTAGTACCTAACCTTGGGATATTTGGTGCTTGAAACTGATCATCTACGGGTATGTCCCATGTGCTGTGATGTTAATTCTTAAGTAAGTAATCAGTAGACAAATACCAGAGCTAATTTTGAAATTGTTAACATGGCATATGACTTATATAGCTTATGGTGGTAGTCATAATTTTCTTAAGGCTTTTTTTCAACAACAAACAAAAGCAACACTAAAAAGCTTTTAAAAATGCTGGCTTCAGAGTTAAAAAGGCCGGTGATGTATTAATATCTTTAGCTTTTGTTTATCCTTCAGTGTGCAACATGAGCATTGTTTTTTTCTAGTGTCTAAATGTGTATGCTTTTTTTTTAAACAGGCCAAATTTCTGGACTTCAAGATACAAAACATGGTTGGCAGCTGTGACGTTAAGTTCCCCATCCGGTTAGAAGGTTTAGTCCTGACACATGGCCAGTTCTCCAGGTGAGCATATTATCGTCATTATCCTTATCAATACTATCATTGTCAGAATCTCCATTATCATCACTATCATTATCAGCATTATCACTACTGCGAGATAAGACCAATCTGTATAGCAGAGCCGGTATTTGCAGATGATGTGGCCCTAATAGCTAAATCTGAGGCACAACTTCAGTCCAACTTACTTGTCTAGAAGGAAGAGCCTGAGAAGAGAGGGATGATCATCTGAATCTCCAGAACTAAAACCATGGTGATCTCAAGAGAGGAGAAGAAACACCAGATCATGGTGGGACAGTATGCATTAGAGCAGGTCAGCCAGTTCAAATACTTTAGACCAAAATGAAGGCATTAAGACAGAACTGGTTACGCGAGAGGACGAAAATAGCTGTTAATTGACCTACCTTTGTGCCAGTCCTGACCTACGGGTGAGTCATGGACGATAACAGTTCACAGAGCCAGCTTCAGAAAAGAGACTTCTGAGAAAGGTGGTCCCAGCAGACAGGAAGAGATAGTTAACCATCAGACAGTATGTCAGGATCTTAAAACCCAGGCCTTACAAACTCAGGTAAATCAGTCACAGTTACGATGGTTTGGACATGTATGCAGAATAGGAGAAAATTGGCGCTCCCCCCCTCCCTCCCCCATGGGAGGCTAAGAACCAGGGAACCAGACCTCTAGGGTTCACTGTGAAGTCAAAATCTGACAGTCCCTGACCGACAGAGGACTGGAATGGAACAAAGCCAGAAAGAAAAATGCTGATAGAGACGTCTGGCAATTTCTCTGACGAACCTCTACACCTGAAGGTAGAAGAGAAGCGACTAAGTCAGTCAGATCACCATCGTTATCATCATCATCATAGTCTCATCACTAGTGTTCCTGTGCTCAGGCTAGCACATTCTCTATGGGGAATTACAGATGAGTAGAAAATGTTCAGGTTAGCCTCTACTACAGTTTAAAGATGTGTGTGTGCCGGACAAGAAGGATCTAGGTACTAAGGAGGGTTTGTGGGAATAGGATGCCATGGATTGCATTGCCTTGAAGGTGTAAATAGCCTGTGATGACCCTGCTTTGCATGGTCTCCACGAGTACATTGTGGCAAGCAGGAAGTCCGTGCTACAAGTGACGGCACGAGATACTTGTGGCCGGTGGAGTAAGTGAGGCGAAGCCCGAGCTAGCCTCGTGGTCAGTCGATCATGAGAAGTCAGAGTAGACGGTTGTAGTAATTGAAGATGTAGTTTTTATGTTGTGACTGGTTAGCGTTCGAATATGTCGCGAGTGAAATAAATGTGAAATAAATGGACGAGAATAAACTGACAGAGTGTACAATGAAGCTGAGTGGCGTTAGTGTGTGTTGTCAACCCTAGACGTTGAAGTCGGTGTGAGCCAAGGTTCTTTCAAAGGTGCAAACCAAGGTTCATTCCAAGCAAGGCTCGACTCATTTCAAGTGGGGAGCTTGTCCGAAGGAAATTCGAAACCACGCGGACCTCAATCATATGAAAACAATTTTTCTTGCAAGGTAAGATAAACATGCGGAAAACAGTGTACAATACAACGTTTTTACCCGAGCAGAGCCTATAATGAACACAGCAAGCGCCGACAGGTCAGCTTCCGACCAATGAAAACCGGTGTGTCATCTACGCCCGGCCACACACCGTATAACCAATTTTTGCGAATTCAGGAAGTTTCATGTTTACCAAAGGTACATATCGTAAATATTATAAATCAAGTTTGTGAATTAAATCAGATTTGTGACGATTATTGTTTCGGAAACCAGATGACTATGAACTAATTTTATTTACAAAGGTATGCTAAGTTTTCTTGCTGCGGTGACATTTTTTGCATCGATGTGCGTTTATCAGAATGGCATCTAAAAGGTTGGTAAAAAGTAAGAACACTGTCTCGCAAGTATCTTCAGCGACAACAATGAAAGATACATCGATAAGTAACCAGAAGATCAAGATGTGCATTTTTTGTAAGTACCAGCACAGTTCTGCAACTATCTGCGACAAAGATCCTAAATATTCAAGTTATATTGAAGACTTGGTCAATAAAAAGTGGCAAAATAAACAAAAGAATAACCTTAAAAAGTGCCACTTTTGTAAGGCATTCGGACATATTGTAAAACTTTGTGTTGGGAAACAGATGTTAAAAGACAAGAAAAGATCCTCGTTTGCAAAAACTAATTCAGTTACAATGGTTTCAGAAGATATTACTCTAGATTGTTCTAGAATCCAGCAAAAGTAGTAATACAAGCAAGAAAGTTGAATACAAGACAGAAATTGAACGAAAAAGACAACAGCCACTGAAACAGAGAAAAAGTCAAACTCAGAAACAATGAAAATTAATCAAGCAAAGGATATCACTGTTCCAACAATGACATCAGTCGAGACAAAAGCAACTCAGTGTATGAAAAAGACAGATTGTGAAATAATAGATAGGCAAACTGTGGATAAAGAATTTTCATTCTTAGAGGATAATAAATATATAGATTATGATCAATTCCACAGAGCAACAAGTCAGAAATATTGGGAAAAGTCAACTAAATGTTTGATAAACAAGAAACCAGCACAAATGCAATTAAATAGAAAATCAAATATCACTTTGGTACGTGAAAATGTTTTAGAAAAATCAGATTATAGCGGAGAAATGGTTTACTGTATAAACAGAGAAGATTTTTTTATGCGATTTTGGACAGCTTATATTTATTTGAAGTCGCCCTATATATCAAGACCATTGAAAGTAGTGGTAACGGACAACATCGGAACAGATGTGATTCTGGGATACAAAGACTTCAACATTAGAGACTGTTCTGATGAAGACATACGAGTTTGGGAACAAAGTCATCTCCATCAACAAAAATAACAGCTGATTCAAGGAAAATTACCATCTTTATTTATCAACTGAAGTATCACTATTTACTAACTTGAAACCATACAGTTCATCATCCTGAACATCAACATCAATCTAACATATCCCCATGCATGAAGCTCAATATTATTATCAGTCAAGAAGCTACATAGAACCACCTGCAACCATACGATCAAGAGTCAACCTGAACAATTATCAAGAATTGACATTTTACCATTTTTCACCTCAAGATTGTCATATTTCAACCTAAATCAGAAATCACCAACCAGTACTGTACAGTGAATGAACAGAAACATGTCAGCCACTGAATTATTCAAACCTGAAAATCACCATCAAGGAACACGAAATTTTTTCTCCAGACACCTCAAAATCAACGATTGAAACATCTCAAAATCAGCAAATTCTAAGCGACACTTCAAGATCATCTATACAATATCAAGATCGTCGAATACCAAACGTATCATAAAATAAAGAATGCGAGAATAATGAAGCATTCCGACTGTTTAAACGCAATCAAGAACAACAAACGTCAGTATTACATCGTGTTTACACAATTGTGATAGCTACTGTGAAAGTTAGATCATGTTACATACCTTAAGTTTTGTGTAAATAAATATCAAATTAATGATGAAGTATTTAAAAAAAGTGCATAAACACCTGATTTCATTTATAAAAAACAGCCACGTACTGTGTGTATTGAACACCTTCCGTTTAATTATTATTTTAAATGTGGCATATCAGTGTATACAGTCACTGAACACTGATAATAGCATTGTGTTAACTCTTAAAATTAAATTATATTTTTAGTCAGTATATCTTTAAGATTATCAGTTCAAGCCTACTAAGAGAGACCCCAGAGCAGAGCAGACTGTTGAGCAAACCAAGGAATGAGAAAGCAAGCGCCAGAGTACAAGCAAGACACACACAGCCTGCAGAGATGGATCAAGATCAAGAATAGTTAATAGAATGAATGGGAATGAAAGAGAATAAAACAGGTATGAATGATGAATGAAAGATTTGTGGGTAGTATTTTAAGTGTACATGCATTTAACTTAGGTTAGTAGTTCATAAGGATTATTTTAGGATACATGTAATGACAGTATTTCAAAAGTTTAAAAAAAAAAAAAAATTCTCTCCCCAGGAACAGCACAAACGAATTAAATCAAGATTTAGCGATAGATTATTTAGAAATCTTTTTCCACAGAATGATTTAGATAAATTCAATTTAAAATGTTTTAACATAGGTGTACAGCACAGGGACATGGTAAATTGATCCACGACACCCAAGATTATAAACTGCTAGTAGTTATACTGATGCTGAATAGACATACTGATGGTAAAGAAAGAGTGCACACACCAAAGCACAAGCACAGTAGAGGAGTTGAAATCATCGGTATCCATCTAGAGGGGGAAAGGTGTGTGGGATTCCTTGGAGTTGAATACTCTGTTAAAGGTGATATAGAGACTGATGGGGAAACCCTAAACTCTATTAAAAATCATCCCAATAGTCATCATTTCATCTGAGATTCCTTGGAGTTGAATACTCTGTTAAAGGTGGTTATAGACTTGGAGGAAACTCTTAAGATCTATGAAAAATATATCTCAATTATCATTGTTTACATGTTGGATTCCTTGGAGTTGGGTAATTACTCTGTGAAAGGTGAGACTTTGGTCTATGAAAAAATATCTCAACATGCATTTTTTTTTTCTGTGGTAGATTCCTTGGGGTTGGGTAATTACCCTGTAAAAGGTGTTATAGAGGCTTTTGGGAAACCGGAAGCACTATGATAAATATATCTTACCACTATCATATCGGCTAAGAGTCCTTGGAGTTTAACACCCTGTGAAAGGTGATGTAGAAATATTGGTTAAATCCAATTTTCTGTGTAGTAAATATCTCAAAGCGGATCATCATCATCACTATCATCATTTCACTTTAAACCCGATAGAGTAGATATAGTGACTAGACTACTACAGATGCAATAGGTGCAAAGATGGTTTAAACTCTTCACCTGCTCAGTACTGAAAAGCATGCAGTAAATATTGAAGGCAGTTTTTAAAGGGCAGTAATTGAGGATAATCAGGAACCATAATTCCATAGTGGTAATACAATTAAATTGATTTCATATATTTGGTTAAAGGAAAATGACACTTGATGTTCCATAAAGTGTCATTTTGTTAAAAAGGGGGGAGAGTGTGATGACCCTGCTTTGCATGGTCTCCACGAGTACATTGTGGCAAGCAGGAAGTCCGTGCTACAAGTGACAGCACGAGATACTTGTGGCCGGTGGAGTAAGTGAGGCGAAGCCCGAGCTAGCCTCGTGGTCAGTCGATCATGAGAAGTCAGAGTAGACGGTTGTAGTAATTGAAGATGTAGTTTTTATGTTGTGACTGGTTAGCGTTCGAATATGTCGCGAGTGAAATAAATGTGAAATAAATGGACGAGAATAAACTGACAGAATGTACCAAGAAGACGAGCAGCGTTTGTGTTGTCAACCCTAGATGTTAAAGTCGGTGTAAACCAAGGTTCATTCCAAGTAGACCACGATCCATTCCAAGTTGAATACGACTCATATCAAGTGGGGTTCATTTCAATAGCGACAAAGGAGAACAGGGTTAAAGAAGGAACACACTTTTTTTTTTCAGAGGGTCACAAATTGGGAACACAGGCCTTTCTTACATTCAGCCTTTTTGAACATACATCTTTCACATAGCATGTGTATTTTATTAGTAACGAATGTAACGATGTGCGTAATTTGAATACTAGGGGGGAAAAACACAAAAGTTTGAATGTCAGAGTTAACAAGAAAGTCAACCCGAATAGGATAAAGTTTGTTTACTGTACATTAAAGCTTTTAGTAGGTGGGTTCTTTCACTGATCGGACTTCATGGGCTGGTAGAAGGGTCTGCTAACCCAGTGTGTCCAGACAACAGGTCTGGTAGATGGGTGGTCAAGCTAGCACAGCAGGTCTGGTAGATGGGTGGTCAAGCTAGCAGAACAGGTCTGGTAGATGGATGGTCAAGCTAGCACAGCAGGTCTGGTAGATGGGTGGTCAAGCTAGCACAGCAGGTCTGGTAGATGGGTGGTCAAGCTAGCACAGCAGGTCTGGTAGATGGGTGGTCAAGCTAGCACAGCAGGTCTGGTAGATGGATGGTCAAGCTAGCACAGCAGGTCTGGTAGATGGGTGGTCAAGCTAGCACAGCAGGTCTGGTAGATGGGTGGTCAAGCTAGCACAGCAGGTCTGGTAGATGGGTGGTCAAGCTAGCACAGCAGGTCTGGTAGATGGGTGGTCAAGCTAGCACAGCAGGTCTGGTAGATGGGTTTGTTAACAGATCCATGTAGATGCAGGTTGGTTAACCGCTAATTTGCTTAGAATAAGAACTTCTGAGCCAGTATATAGGGCAACTGAGTCACCGTGCTACATCATCATCATCCTAGATTGTTATTAAATTCAGTAAAGAACCCTTTCTTTTTCGCCAGTTCCACATTGGGCATCTGATGTTGGACTTATTTTTATAGATCAACCAGCAGTTGATAGGTCACGTGTCAGCATCATACAGGCCCCCTTTACCTCCCAGGACATTACCTGGTGCCCTTTTTAGGCTGGGCCACCTTGGGATCTAATACAGATTTGGGGTGGAAATGCATCACTGCAGATTCAAATCCAAAACCTTTGGGCCAGACGGGGATCATCTAGCCACTATGACACCAGGTATCTAAGTTGTTAATATAATAATTTACCTGTCTATGATGATCACTTGTAATTATGTGTCTTCCCACAGCTATGAACCAGAGCTGTTTCCTGGACTGATATATCGCATGGTGAAGCCTAGAATTGTCCTTCTTATCTTTGTCTCTGGGAAAGTTGTCTTGACGGGTAAGAGTTTCATTTCGGTTATTCGACATCGCTGCCTTGTTGTTAGCCTGAATCTCATCTGTATAATCAGAACTTGGCACTGAGAATAGAAATTATCATTGTTCTCTTTGCTTTGATGTGACCTATACAGGAACCAAAGTCTGTATTCTTTTATTTTGGAAAAGGTGATTTTTAGATTCTTAGAAGACAGATCAACATCATGGCACAAGGGGTAACCCATAAGTGCTCCGTTTTACTTCTGACTCAAGCCTGAGCTTTGAGAATCTCAGCGGAGTGCACGAACTCCTGGCGAGGACCCTGAAATATTTTGGGTAGATTTTTAATTAAATATTTGTTGCCCTTGCAGCGCCATTAGGCTACTCTTTTCAATTTCAAGCTGCCAAGGGATTTTTATGTGTGCAAAAATACACACCAGCATCCGATCTTACTACCCAGAGACCAGGAGAAATTACTAGAAGTCCACATGAAAAAACCCAACCTTCACCTGGACCTCCAGTAATCAAGGCGGGCGCCAGTAGACTAATGTTTATGTACTGTGCAAGGTGTAATGAGGAAAGATGGACTTATGTACGATGATATCAGGAGGAGAGTCGGCACAGAACCAATATTGAACTTTATTGGTAAACAATAAATCAAATGGCTTGGCCGTGTAACAAAACTGACACCATAGAGAGCAATGTCACACACACACAGTGGTAACATAGTTAGAGTTTGACCGCGCATAAATATCCGAGACACTGCAAAATACTTGATACGAAGCGAACAGAAAGGCCCTCTCCAGAGATCTCTTTCTGCCTTGACGTTGCAAGGCATTCCAGAAGTAGAGGTTAGAAAAAGAAAAACTGATTTCTATGATTGTTATGAGGTATAGGTGACATGTAATGTGAGACTTTATCACCTTGCTGTATCATTAAGAGTCACACAGGACTCGGTGTGTTCTTCAGTTCTACTGTTATCCTTTGCATTCCTTTCCATAACAAGGATGGAATCCAAACCAGCAGCTTTGGCCTCTCTTATCAGCATTTATCTTGGACGCCTTCACTTCCCCGATCCGTTTGTTTATCATTGTTGTAAGGAGTCATTTTCTCCCTGTGATGAATAAAGTTACAAGATGATTTAGCTGTGAATTCTTGGGTTTGTTTGTTTGTTTGTTTTAGTATCCAGAAGCCATGAGTTTGTTAACCCTTAGGCTCGGTATTATGAATATTGCAACCTTTCGGCCTTGATTCCATTGTAAATACCGTAAATCTGGGAGAAATGTGGCTTTCTGCCTACCCCCGGGAGTGAACCCGGACCACAAGGAGTTCGTCACCCGGTCACCACGCAATCCGCTTTAGTCAACTACGCTAGATAGCCAGGCTGAATTTTTGGGTAAACCTGGCTATTGTTCGTTTGATGATTCTGGTCAAAATCGTACATTGTTGTGATTCAGCGTGGAAGATTGGGAATGTTTAGTATGCCGTTAGATTCGTAACGTGTTTTGTCAACATACAGGTAGTCATGCCTTTGAACTTTATATTTGGTAATAGTTGTGAATTGCGATCCATGGACTGTCACCACAGGGTGTCCTTGTTGAAGGCATTTGTGTGAATTGATCAATAAATGTTGACATCAAATATCATTAGCTGTGCATTCACCTTGTTTGTTTCAACATGGTGGTTTGCAAAGGCTAGAGTCAAGAGACTGTTAGAGAGTTGTCTTCCCCGTTTGGTGTTTCTTCACTTGCAACTTCTCAGGATATTCCCAGTATAGTCCCACCTTCTTTGTCTTAAAACTGTTGATACCGGTCGTTTTCTTACCCAAAAAAAAAAAACAATTATGAATTCTTCAGTTTTCTTGACTTTATCCCATTTAACGTCTGTGGTCCAGCTGGACCTACCATGATTGACAGATTACCAAACTTTCACCCCTTCCCTTTCCTCCCAGCAAGGATGCCCTAGGAGGCCACTAATGAGGGGTGTTTCCTTTAGAGTCTTGGGTGCATCTGTCTAAGAGGCAAGGAACTAGCAGTCTGCATGCAGATAAACTAGATCTGTAAAATAGATGTTCATGCAGCACGCAAGCTCCAGATCAATACCAAGTCTAGAAGTAGAAGAACAAACAGAACTTTTCGCCAGAGTTTGCAGCAATTGAATGCTCAGAAGATCTGTATGTAGGCAGTGCCGTTGTACACAGGACAGATCAAGGTGTTATAAAGGCACCGTGTTCAGTATTTTGTTCTATGATGCCCAGTAACTATAGATATCAGATGTCCTAACATATATGTCTGTCACTCGCATTGTTCGGTTCTTAATTTATAACGTACCCCAAACACGAAATCCACAGCTGACCTGACAGTCCATTATTTCGAGGGGTGGAAGTGTGCTTTTGTGTGGTACATTTTTTTTGAGTGTTTATGTAGTGTCTTCTAATCCTAATCATAATCCTAACCCTAAACTTGGCTGTAGATAAATCGCGAGAAACTACAACCTGAACACCCTAGAATTTTTTGGGAATGTCTCCCGTGACGTTGTCATGACGTCAGGGGTAAGTTATAAATTAAGTACCTTATTTTCTTATTACTTTTGTTTCTTATTTCTGTTTTTCTCTCTCTGTGTTTGCCTCATTGTGTGTCTTTTCTTTTTTTTTTTCCTCCTCTCCTGCTTTCTGTTTCGTCTCTGTCTTGGTGTCTTTGCCTCTGTGTATGTGTCTCTCTCTCCCTCCCCTCTCGTGCATAGTTATCTGTCCCACTGTGTTCTCATGCTAGCACACATGTTTTGAAGCATATGTCATCTGAAATTTTTCTTTTTTTTTCAGGTGCCAAAGTGAGGGCGGAAATTTATGAAGCATTTGAAAACATTTATCCAATTTTAAAAGGTTTTCGGAAGCAGTGACATCCGGACCAATTTCATCTGTATATATATTTTTGTTAGCTGATTGTTTCATTTGAGTCATTTGTTACTATCAACACTGTGTGTGTAAAGATGCCGCGGGTTTGGAGGCAAAGGCACTGACATCTAGATTCGGTGCCTGGAAAACTTTTCTTGTTGGAGAATTGAAAATGCTTGTTAGTACTGACACAAAATAATAAAAAAGTACACAGAATTTTGGAGGAAAAAAAAGTGCCAGATGTTTGAAAGCACTACCATCCAAACCTGAGTGTCATGTTAACATTTTTGTTTGCCATTACTTAATATCGGCACATAGTATGCGTTTGAGAGAACCATGTGATGACTGTGAGTCTGCATCCGTGACCTGACTGCAAGAACGTGTTAAAAGGGCGTAGCCAGGCAGGAGCACTACGCAGGGAGCTAAAGACGAATAAGACATTAATACAGAACTAGTTTCGTCAGCCGCTGATGGATTTACTGAGGAGGGGATCCGAGCTGTTAGGGACTGAATAATCAGTGTGAGGTGAGGATAATCTGTCAACTAACATAGTAAGTCAAAAAATTTCAGGAGAAAAGAGCACTAGGTGAAACCTTTTTGGGTTTGGTCAGTTCAAGACATTTGTTAACAGTATTGATCTATTGTGATGACAGGTTGGAGAGGCAGACCAAGACAAATTATGGTGGATGGTTTTAGACAGGGGCATGGAATAATAACATCAGTAGAATTGATCCAGGATACCAAAGGCCGAGATCTGTGGCGATACATGAACGCCTGCGCCAACTGGCAAGGCACTTGATGATGATGATAAATCTATGGTGTTTACAAACATAAGATTCCACTGTCTGCTACTCTGTGGACTTGAGTTGTATTTGCTGAAGTTCATAAATCTCATGATCCTCGAGTACTACGGTTTGATTTCTGCTGCAGCCTGTTCATTAAAAAACAAAAACACTCACTTAGTCGCTCCTCTTCTACCTTGGGGTGTAGAGGATTGCCAGACTTCTCTATCAGCAGTTTGCTCTCTGGCTTTGTTCCTCTGTCAGGGACTGTCGGATGTTGTCTCAGCAGTGGATCCTGGGTAGCCCCGGAGGTTTGGTTTCCTGGTTCTTAGCCTGCCATGGTGGCCGATTTTCTCCCATTCTGCATACATGTCCAAACCATTGTAACTGTGACTGATCCACTCGGGTTTATATATAATATCACACCATTGATAATTCTGTATTATAGTTTCATACTTATAATTAGGTACCCTGTCAAAGAGTGGGTGATGATGAATGATCATAGTGTCGAAACTGAAACACCAACACTCAACAATCACAATGGCATATTTCATGTTATGAATTGAAGGAAAAAAAATTGTCATTATTATACATGATTTTTTTCTGTTTTTCTTCCTTTCTGGGCGTATTCCCTCTGAGTGCAAATGATCCTACATTCGTGCTAGTTAGAAGATGACCAGCTTGAAACCTTCAGACCTAAGTCAGAGTAGGATGTGAGGGTGCTGAAATTGCTGCTGGGGATATCTTGGATTTAGGTCAGGAAAAGAGGGACTGTCGTATGTTGTCTCCCTAGCGGATCCTGGGTCGGCCTGGAGGTTTGGTTTCCTGGTTCTTAGCCTGCCATGGTGGCCGATTTTCTCCCATTCTACATACATGTCCAGAACATTGTAACTAGGACTGATCCGCTCGGGTTTGTAAGGCCTGGGTTTCAAGATCTTGATCAATTGTCTGGTTGTGAACTTTGTCCATTCCTATCACTTGAACCGCCTCTCTCAGATATTTTATTTCTGAGGCCTGAAGCTGGCTTTTATGTGCTGTTTCATTTAAAAAAAAAACCAACAACCTGTTTTAGGTTGTAGGCACAGGAATCATAATATGAAATAAGATTTAGACCTCACCACACAAGTAGAATTCATAGGAGATAGCATACATAGTTTTGGGTAATTGTATCTCCCCCTTGGCCTTCAACGGCTGTAATTTAAGAAGGAAAGTTCTGATTGTTTGTTTACCTCTTGAATTTAGTCTTGTTCCAGAACCTGGCAGTTGCCTGCACAACAATTTTACAGATCTGACTTTTTTTGTAGGCAGAGTGCTTTTCCCTTGCCTCTCAGGCAGATGCACTCCATCTTTGAAGGAAACCCTTAGTTAGCTGACTCTTAGCACGTGATTGTTGAGAAGGCAGTGGGTTTGTTCTTGTTTTCCCCACAATGGGGCCCCAGAACACACACCCAGAGGTAAGTGTATCTGTAGATACATTCAGTTGGTCACGGGTTACTGGTTTGTAAATACTTTGTCATTTTCAGATATAAGTTCCATAACTTTTGTCTGTTTTGGACACACAGATACCTCGGAGTACTAAAGTGAATCTTATCAGAACTATTTTTTTGCCAATACTATGCTATTAATGCCAAAAGTGGACACTTACATCCTCTAATGAACGTAAAATTGTGACAACAGAGATGAAATGCCTTAGAAGAGCTGCAGGAGTTTCAAGGAAAGACAGAATACGAAATCATGAAATCAGACAAATGCTAGGAATAAAGTCAGTCTTACAGGTCATCAAAGAGCAACAAATGAAGTGGTTTGGACACCTTACAAGAATGCCCTGATAATATTCGCCACAGCGAGCCACACTAAAACGTTACAACGGGTATAGAGCGAGTGGAAGACCTCAGAAAAAATGGAGTGATGGCATTAAGAACAGTCTTTCAGAAATGAACATCAGTCTTAATAGTGCTCTTGACAGAGCTCGTCAACGTACATTACATCTCCCCCAGACACTTCGATGAGGTAAAAGGTGGAAGAGAAGAAGAAGAAGAAGACTTTCACTACACCATCTGTCCACTGTAGCGAAGAACACACATAGTATGACTTTTGTTTGGAATCTGGTACAGAGCTTGTCAGAATGCATTTCTGGTCTGAGTTTTTTTTTTTAATGAAAACATTAGAGGGCAGTTTTATCTTACAGGCATTTACAGTTAGATTTTGTTTAAATACAGAGTGAAATGAAAATCTGTTTTGTCAGAAGTGACAGGAAACTGTTTGTAGAAGAGAGTAGTAACACGACATTGTTCCTTGATGTGACAGACGAGGTGAAGATGTTCTTTGATGTGACAAAGTGACGATGTTATCTGATGAGACAAAGTGTAGCCCTGGATTCACCGCAGCCAGCTTTCATTGTGGAGATAGCATTGAAAATTTTAAAAAAACACATACCATTTCATTAAGGATCCTTAACTCGACGGGGACGGTCATTATTCAGCGAATCTAGCAAGGTGTGTTTCTCTTTTCCATGTAAATAATTTTTCATGTTTATAGTTAACTTGTGTGTCCAAAGGTGGATACTGAATTATGTCGGGCTTGTGGTGCTGTTTGCACTAGTATCCTAAACTCAGCGGCCACTGGTAAGTTTTTTCCTCAGAGTGTCTGGTTTTTTCATCAGGATTGGGCAGACTTTAATTCCGAAGTTTGTGTGTTGGTGGTTTTTCACTTCATCAAAGTTTTCCTTCCATTGCCGACAGTGGAGGTCACTATTCAGTGAATCTAGCAATGTATGTTTCTTTTTTCCGTGTAAATAATTTTTCATGTTTATAGTTACGTTGAGTGTCCAAAGATGGATACTGAATTCTGGCTTGTAGGGCTGTTTGCCAGGAAACCTTGCAGTGTCAGTGAATAGTTTGCTGAGAGGCGTTGAGGGGTGTATTTTTCAGTCAAATGTTACGCATACCTTAGGACAGCAAATCTCAAACTTGTGCCACTGCGGCACCCTTGTCGGTCAAACATTTTTTTCGTGGCACACCTACCCTTAAAGCGGTTTGAATACTTGGGAAAGCAAAAAAGAACAGTGCAAATTGGATGTTTAGTTGTCTTTAATGCGATGAATGAAACTGGATAAATTTAAAGTTTTTTTCTGTACGTTTATGGGAAGTTAATTTAATTTTTCCCTGAAATCTGTTGACGGTTGCTCATGTATCTGTTTTTTAATATAAGCGTATGTTAATGCGCTGTAGCACTGTTTTCTGAATATACCTGTACCTAAAACTCCTTTTTCTTGGTTTCCTTTAGGGTATTTCTGATTTAAACTGCTGTCTTTGTTGATCTCAAGCAGATGAAAAATTCTTGAATATTGCCGGCACCCCTGGCACACGTTAGTGGCACCCAGTTTGAGAACCGCTGCCTAAGGAGAAGAAAAAGAAATGTTTGGCTGGGATAGATTAATAAATAAAGAAAATCATGTGCTTTTCTTGTCAACTGCTAGGTACCACAGTTGTTTGTTCATGTTCACTGGCTGGAAACTCGTTATAAAGATCCGATTGTTCGTCCGTGTCTAGGCTTGTCTTCTTCCAGAAAGTTAGTTTGGCATGCACATCTGTTTCACAGATATGGCATGCAGGTTGTTGGTTCCTTGCCTCTTAGGCTGATAGATGCTGATTTTAAAGAAAAATCTCTAATCTGCTTTCTATTACAACATGATGCTGGAGTGTGGTGGGGGTCTAAATCTTTTTTCCTCACTACAGATTGGTGAACACTGACGGCTGGAAAGACAGCAGTCAACAAGGGAGAGGTATAGGGATATCTTCTTCTTCATCATTCAGTGCTGTTACTGCATTGTGCGTCTTTACAGCATAATCGTGATAATTATTTATGTTGGCCGACACATCCCACTCAGTATGGCATTCGGTCAGTAAAATTGTCATTTATCTGTGGAAAGATGTAAAGATCTATTCCATCTGAAAGGATGCATGACCAGACTACTGAAATGAGGGAGTCTGCAAAAGATCGTCTGCTTAAAAAAACACACATTCATTGATTTGTGTTCTCAGTATGAGGGTACATTAAATGAAGTAATTTGGTAGTTTCTCTGAAGCAAGTAGTTAAATGCTGTCGCCGCTGCTATGGAGGTTTGTGCTGAGTGTGCCGCTGTTGGCAGAGGGACAGTCATTCAGGGTACAGTTTGAGCCAAATGGAGAAACACCCGGGCCAGTGCATTTTATCCTCTTTCT